AAAAAAAAAAAAAAAAAAAAAAAAAAAAAAGTTAAATTCTTAAACATATATATACCACCAACACAATAAAGCAAAATCAAAAAAAAGGGTAACAAGTTAACGGTCAGCCGGTTCACTACTTTAGAATAAATAACTATTTTAGAAGAACTGCTAACATCAATTAATATTTTTAATAGTGTGACGGTTCAGATGCCAAAGTAAGGACACATATAGATTCAACCAGAAAGACAGATCACTTGAAATATCAATGCTAGAGTTATCAAATTCTAGACCTCAAATCTATAAAAATCCAGAACCAAGAGTCTCATAATTCACCTCATATAGCAAGGTTGAATGAAATTAGGCTTACAATGACAACTATGTTTGTGTACTTTTTCTAGATATCAAAAGTGGCCAAAGTGGCCTTTTCATGTTCATTCTCTCCTTACACCTGTTCTCTTCTACCCTTCACTTCTCTGCCTTTCGTCACCTGCTATAGCAGATTCCATCTACAAATGTGGTGTGTTCCTTCATCTCCTGCATATTGACTTCTTTCTCCTCCTCCTTTGCAAGTGTGCCAAGAAAGGGAGCTTAGCCAAAGGGCAGGTACTGAGCATGGAAACCAGGCCAGGGACTGGGGTCAGGGTGGGGGTTGGGAAGAGCCAATAAACATAGCCAAAAAACTGATTCACCAAGATCAGTGGCCCTGTTCATAAAGGACAGGAAAATACACTGAATTCCACTTTACAGAAATACTGAACAACAGAATCATTTATTTGAATTAATTTGGAAAAACCAAAACAATACATATTATAAAAGGGAAAAGTCACTCATTATAACCATCAAGTCAATACATAAATAAATATTATGCTCTGTGCCAAGAGATTACCATTGATGATTTTTAGGCTTTGGGAATGAGAAGTACCGTTTAGATGTTATACACCAATTTAGTCTGCTCTAGCCATTCTTCCAGGGGATTGTGAAATTTAAACACTGTGTTTCACAGAACTTTACAGGTCTCTAAAAATTTCCTGCAATCAAGGCCAAATTAAGGAACAGACCGGAGCTCATATGGGTTATGTGCTTGGAGACTTGAGAAACACTACATTAATATCTATATTCATCTTTGCTATGAACTTGAAAGACCAATCAACACCTGCCAACTTGCAACATAACAAAAAGTAACGGTGTAGGGCCGGCCCCGTGTCCTAGCAGTTAAGTGTGGTTAAGTGCGCGCGCTCCTACTGGCGGCCAGGTTCGGATCCCGGGCGCGCACCGACGCACCGCTTCTCCGGCCATGCTGAGGCCACGTCCCACATGCAGCAACTAGAAGGATGTGCAGCTATGAC